GAGGCAAGTCCTTGGGTGTGCTCAATGGCACATTCTAGACAAGCACCGGCTTGGCTTTTGTGTACTTATGCCGCTCGGTTGCCACTTTGGGGGCACCTTTCTTGTCGTAAGGTTCTGGATTTTTGACGAATGAACCCCAGACCTTCTCAACATACGCAACAAAAGCTCGGGGGCTACCCCGGAAATCATGGCTTGTGAGCCACAGAAGATTCATGTTGTTCAGCTGTCATCTTCCACTGCAGTGTAGCAGCGCATGATGGGTCGAAGCCCTGAGACAGCCTTTGGTTTCAAGAGTTTTTTCGGAGGATGGTCGACCGACTTGGTCCTCTTCAGGGTCTCGGGTTTTCGCTATAAGCTCTTAGCGCTGAGCAGAGCCCAGGATATTGAGCGTCACCCTGCACTGCCTCAGCCATAACTCCTGCGCACGAGAGCTTCAGAGCACTGCAGTGCGGGTAGTTTGCTCGTTGCTCATGACAAGATGATTCACCGGACCGTAGACCGTCTTCGAATTTTGTTGTTTAGCCGTCGATGCTTATCTTGGTTGATGTATAGGCACTTTGTACTCCTGGTGTCAGCATGCAGGCCTAGTTTGATTTCGAGCTCGAGTTTGTGAGTGCATTTCGTGCTCTCTCTGTATGTATATACATGTGTATATATTAGACAGATAGATATTTAAGACAGATATGCGTGGCTTCCTGTGTAGCCATACTTCACTTCGATATTTCGCATGGTTGAAAAGCCCTACATTGCAAAACTGTCCTTACTTCTGACACCTCGAAAACCCTAAACCAAGCTCTACATGCCCCGGAAGTCACAATATTCATCACCAACGCCTAGGAGTGCTTCTATTAGCACTGGTCCGCCGGCTCCTGAGCGGTTTGAGCGATTTGAGACTTTGCTGCCTCTTGGGGCCTCGCATTCGCGGGCTAGGGGGCTTCAGGGTTTAGGGCTGAGGGTTCTAGAGTGTCAGGCTAGGGGTTCAGAGCAGCGGTTAAGGTTTGGGGTTTACGGTTGCCTGGTCGAGTTCAGGAGTTTGGAGTGCTCCGCTGGATAACTTCGACAACCATAAACCCTAAACCCTTCCATGGATTCCAAAGGCCTGAGGGCATGGAAGCTCGCCTTCGGGGTTCAACTCATAAGCCCATGCTAGACCCCTGCTGCGGTCTCAATGAGTTCAGTTGTTTTCAAGAGTTTCGGGGAGTTTGATGCTTGCCTGCCTTCTTTCTTCTCATGTTTTTGGCCGTCGCTATTGTGGTCCCTGTCATCCATTTAGTACTCTTATCCTCTCACTGCAGATGCCAGGGCTTCACAGAAAGACTGAAAGACTTGAAGTAACATCCTTCGCTCATCCGCAAATCTCCAATGCTCCAGTCAAATCCCACTGCCTGGCAACCCTCCGGCGATTCAACATACCCAGGCCACAAAGCCGTAATCTGAACCCTAAAAACTGAACCCTAAAGACCTTAGTGCACATTACCCGATGTAACATCGGAAGTTCGACAAGGCACCCCACGATGTGTGGCCGGGTGGCCCAGTTCGCCTCAGCAGGTTTTTCTCTTCCTGTATGTTTTCGGGGCAGATCGTCACGACCTAGTTTTTGTGTTGCTACAGCGGCGGCAGTCGTTGTCGTCGTCTTCGTTTTCACTGTTTCTGGCATGCATGTTTGCTACTCTTATTGTGTGTCTGTGCCTTTCAAGCGACATGTTTCATGCCTCGGGCGGGATGGGGATTGAGGCTTCAGGTTCCGAGTAGGGTTCAGGCAGTGGCTCAGGGATCCGGCCCAGAAACATATCCGAATATGAACTACCCAAGTCAAGTGATTGTAGGAGTTCCGTAGTAGTAGTAGTAGTAGTAGTAGTAGTAGTAGTAGTAGTAGTAGTAGTAGTAGTAGTAGTAGGTAGTAGGTAGTAGGTAGTAGGTAGTGGGTAGTGGGTAGTGGGTAGTGGGTAGTGGGTAGTGGGTAGTGGGTAGTGGTGGTAGTAGTAGTAGTAGTAGTAGTAGGAGTAGGAGTAGGAGTAGGAGTAGGAGTGGGAGTGGGAGTAGGAGTAGGAGTAGGAGTAGGAGTAGGAGTAGTAGTAGTAGTAGTAGCAGCAGCAGCAGCAGCAGCAGCAGCAGCAGTAGTAGTAGTAGTAGTAGTAGTAGTAGTTTACTGCAAGCATGTAGATTCAGATGCGATGTTCGGCTGCATGGACTTCCGATTACTGTATGTACCCCGGTGCGAACTCTCGGGATACGCTTGGGCCGGCCAGGATTGCCCGCTGGCAAGAAGGGGCGATGTCAATGTCTTGGGTTCTTGTTAAGGGATTTCATTTAAGGTACCACAAGCAGGAAACCATATTATTTACTATAGATCCCTATTATGGTATAACTTAATCCCTTGACACGAACCAAGAAGTAGCTCCAAAGCCGAAAATTCGAAAACCACAGAAGTTATCGAGTAGTGTCCTGACCCAAGTCCCAGCGCCCTTGCTAGATCTTCTCAACACATGTTCAAGTCATCGTTCCATGTCAAATCTTCAAATGCCGACAATTCGAAGAAGAACCCCCCCCTACCAAACAATGAGAAATGCCATCCTGCTCCTCGAATGCGTAGTTACCATAATAGGGATCTATAGTAAATAACATGGTTTCCTGATTGTGGTACCTTAAATGAAATCCCTTAACAAGAACCCAGACAGCAGCCAAAATCAAGGGTTGTAGCTGGTGGAGGTCTCGGAAAGGGTTGCGATCCTTTCTTTGGTTTGTTTCAGGTGGATACTTTTTGGTCTCTTAGGACCTTTGGAGGGAATGGGGATGACTCCATCTCCCGTGACTGCTTGCAGGTGGTGAGCTATGATCAAGTTACCAGTTGGTGCATGTGCACGTGATCGTGCAGAGACGAATTTGAACTCTTCGCTTCGATTGCTTAGCAGCTAGTTCCCTACATTTGACAAGCAGCTGGCCTGACGGCTTAGTGATGGCCTTTTTCGATGGCGCCCTGTGGTCGGGGCGCAGAGCTATTATAAAAAAGAAGGTGAGCTTACGCACACGGGGCAAGATTTGCTCACATTCTGAGGGCAGTAGTTTAAAGTCCCGACGTAAAGCAGGCCACCAAAGCGGACAGCTGCTATGGACTTCAAAGCAACGCTGCTGTTCTCGCAGGTTCAAAGCAGAGCCTCGCAAAATCGCACAGACCGATTCCCTGGACTGCAGACGGCGTCCGGCACAAGACGCGGCAACCAACAGAAATTCGGCTCTAGAGTTAGAAAAGACATCGAGTGCCGTCCGTCGTGAGACGTTGCTTTCAGATGAGGGCTGCAGGACCCGACAGCAGTAGTATCATGTGATTCTGACAATCACGATGATGATGTCGATGATGAGGATGATGATGAGGATGATGAAATGGTCGTTATGGTGAGATGATAGGGAATGTCACGCGATGCGCCTTGAACCGCAAGCCCCAACCCGACCGGAGTGTCAGAGTTCTCAAACTAGGGGTGCCTAACTAATGTTGGGATCCTTATAATAAGGATCCTACTATTTAGGGTCACTATATTAGATTTCCTATTTGCGGAAACCCCTGTATGCGAGATGCTTCGAGTTTAAGAAGTGGTTGTGGATAAAACTTGTATAGAAATCCTACAGTAGATGATCCGTAGTTTGTAGGCAGTGGGGTCCCTGGGGAGAGCTATGATGTTTCCCTCATTTCGTCCATTGCTTCGGTACAGCAATCATGTGGTACAACGTGCTACATATCCTACTGTTGCGACTCTAGCTTGCCATGCTCTGGGTGTCTTGGGCCAAGAGCCCCTAAACCCTAAACCCTAAAGACGTCCGCTTAGAGCTTGCGACCCCAGAGCGAGAATACTGCGGCCCGAGGACTCCGAGGACCGACTTTCCAAAAATGTAACAGGTATAAAAAACAGGTATACATATACAAATGTATATGTATGCATATGTATGTGTATCTGCATATATGTGTATATGTATATATGTATATATGCATATATCTATATATGTGTATATGTAATGTAGTATACTTGTTTTGGCATAGTATAGTAGGACTCTGCTCTCACCCCCCCCCCCCCCCCCCCCCCCCATCCCCAAGCAACCTTCAGATATTTGCACAACCAGCCGAGATCTCAGAAGGGAAGCCAGTCATCAATCATGTGCCATGTCGCCATGTTGTTCTGACTTGACACTCATGGACTCCATAATTGGTGCCGCATAGTTTTTTGGCTTTGAAGGCGTGACGCTGCATGTGTGCCGTATGAGCTGCAGTGTCTCATGCGACGCAAGCCCGCAGTTTGGGAGTTGGTGTTATAGGCGTAAGCTGCAGGTGTTCTGCGATGCTTAAACCCACCAAAATATTAGTCTTCCCACTCACACCTGGACATTCCTCCGAAAAAAGACACACGGTTGTGGAGATGGATGATCGGAAGCTTCAATAAGAAAACCGCAGCACGGCCGCCGCCGATGCCTGGCCCGTGGAGGCCGGGAGCCCCTTTCTTGTGCCTAAGCCCGCAACCTCTGCAGCCACTGAGGCCTCCCACTGAATGAGGATCCGCTAGAGCCTACGTAAAGGGGCTTAATGGTTAGAATAGGGTTTTGGGGCCCGTGATACGATAGCTATAATAGTATGTATAGGTAGTTCATGGTTAAGGCACCTATTTTGGAGCATGCATATCGTGCCCATGAAAACAGGGAGAAGGCGTTGCGGGGAGTTGTGAGCCAACAAGCCCTGGCTTGGAAACCCTCGAGTTGAAGCTACGGCGATAACCAAATTGAACCTCCTAAATGTAGGGGCCGTAACAAGTAGAATAGGGTTGGTGCGTATAGTATACTACTACTATAATAAAGAACCCCCAAAACCCTATTCTAACTATTAAGGCCCATACATTATAGTACCCTTATAGATCCCTCATAGTAGCCCTTCATAGACCCCTTTAAAGAAAGCCTATTCTAATTATTAAGCCCCATACACATTAGCCTGAGCCACAACCCTAGAGCACCTGGCACAGATGACGCTGATCCAGTGGCCTGGGCTGGCAGTCTCGCAGGCACTCCTTGGGGCATAGTTGGGTAAGATTTTGAGTTATTTATGGGTACTTAAACCCAAATAAGGAATGAATAATAAACTAGACTCGACTGCGGCAAAAGTTGACTCGGGCTGAACTCAGTTAGCGGCTGACGGCTTTTGGAATGCTTCTTTCGCCGTGATGGCCAGTTCAGACCTAGTTTTTGATCACAACAACACCAAAAATCGATGACCAACCCGTTATACCAATCCCCGTTTTTAAAGCAAGCCAACGAAAAAGCACCTATACATCCCCTGTAAAGCCCAGAGCCCAGAACTCTTCCTCTCTCTCCCCCCAAAGCCCAAGCCCTAAACCCTTAAACTCCAAACCCTAACTCCCCCCCCCCCCGCCCCCCAGTAGTGTCCCAATCCCTCAACCGAAGTGGTAGTTTAGAGACGCACGGCTAAAAGACACTAGGGTTCAAAAGAAAAACCCAAGCCCGAAGCCCACAGCAATAAACCTCCGCTCTGGAAAAAGGTGCTTTAAAAAACTCCGCTCTGCCGCGAGGACGACCTCATTGACCCGATTCTGCAGGAGCGCCCCGCCGGGGAGGCCTCCGAAGAGGAGGGGTTTCGGGTTTAGGGCGTAGGGCTTAATGTAGGAACCTGATTAAGAACCTTGGGGCTGTGTTAGGGTTCCTTATACAAATCCTACCCCTAAAGCCCTTAACTAAACCTAAACCCTAAAACTATACACCGTAAAATCCTAAACAGCATAGCAGCCGGCGCAGGCACCGCGAAATCCCTCTGGGCGCAGGGCGCGGCCCCGGAGTGCTGCCTCCAAGACCTGCAGGGCTAAAGAGTTGGGAAGCGGAGTTCCGGGTTTCGGGGCTAGGGATTTACAGACCTTAATGACACAGGTTAGACATAGGGTTCTACAGATGCTTGTGGATGTTTTGATGAGATATTTGAGGTTAGACATCGGGTTCTTGACAGTATGCTTTGAAGGGTAGACATGGTATTCGCAGGTGCTTCGAGCTTCATTCAGGTGCTCCGGCAGCGCCGGAGCAGCACGTGATTGCGCAGTTGGGTGTGCGTCCATCATGGTGTTCGTGTGCAAGCAACAAACATGACATGGCAGTTAGTGGGGTTATTAAGCCACTATACTACAGCTGCTAAACCAGTCTCTTCGTATGAGGGAACACATGAAAAAGGGATATATGTACATCCGTGCATGCATACTTTTTTAGTACATATACCTTCGGCAGTGATGATGACTACTGCAAGGTTTTTATCAGTGTGACTGCTGTTCTTGTCCTCGCCGTTGCGATTGTTGTTCTCACTTACTATCAACGCCTAGATGCTTACCAAAACTACTTAGGGGTCCGTATGACAGTTATAGTACAATGTACCCCGAAACCGTATTCTAATTTTTGAAGGCGCCTCTATTATAGTATCCGTTCAGATCTCTTATTCTAGCCCTTACAATACCCTTTTAAGGGAACCCTATTCTAATTACTAACCCCCCCCCCCCCCCCCACATTGCCAGGTGCTGATGGCCGCCAGTCATCCCCAGCAGCCGCACCAGTGGCCCTCAAAACCTCGGCATCTGCCGGGGCCCATCAGTGGGCAAAGTGGAATTCGGTGCGGGTTGGTTTGTAGGGGTACCAATACCGTTTTTGGGGTTCCTTACTCTAATTAGGGTGTAAGGGGCTCCAAAACAGGCCCCTATATTATTCGGCTTAGGGTTCGGGATTTGACGGTCGGTGATTTGTGCAGGTTTGGGATTGATAGGATCCCCGATAGCAGCGAAGTTGTTCAGGTGTTCGCTTGTTAGGGTTAAGCTCAACTCTGCCACGCAGCAGGGGACATGCGTTATCATGATTTTCTTCGCATGTCATTGATCGCTGTAGCTGGTGATGTTCGTGCTGTTGCACCTCAATGTCCGTGTGGTTGTCATTCGTCGTCTGCGTGCAGACACGGCACGCATTAAAATTCACACAGTTCACACTGGTTGCTATCTGTTGTTATCAAACTTTTTTGTGCATCACGGTTGCTCTGGTGCACACTACATGTTCTGATTATCATGCGCGCGCGAGGGGGGGTGCATTGGCATTCTGAAGCTGTGTGTTCAGCTTTTGAGATGCTTTCTTCGAGGTTTCAGGGCCAGCTGGCTTTTTGCTGTCGCCAAAACCGGTTTCGCCGAGAGAACGTGGAAGCAAGCGGACAGCTGAAGAATCTTGTCCAAGTGCACGCTCCAAGCTTCGCCTTATCGACCCCTTCAAGCAGAAGCCTTAACGGAACCCGTCCGGTACCCCAACCCCTAAACACGCCCCTTTACCCTCAACCCCTGAACCCTAACCCCTAAACCGCCCAAAAAGGTGCTCAAAAAAAAAGCCCTAAACTCTTACAGAAACCCCTCGCTGGATACTTTTAAGCCCCTTTGAGCTTCAGAAGCCTCCGGCACGGAACTCCGAGGCCGCAGGGCTCTCGATCGCCTACGGCAGCGCCGATGCGGCCACTTGCATGGGGGATGAGGTTCAGGGGTTTAGGGGTTTAGGGTTTCGGGTTTAAAGTTTCTGGTTTGAGATTTGGGGTTTAGGGTTTCGGGTCTAAGGTTTCGGGTGTAAGATTTCGGGTCTAAGGTTCCTCCACTCAAGGTGTGTTGAGTGCTTAACTGCTCGAAGTCCTGAAGCCGGTGCTTAACCATCGCAGTCCTCAAACCCCAAGGTTTCAAACAGAGGGTTCAGGGTTCAGATGTTTAGGGGTTTAGGGTTTAGGGTTTAGGAGGTTTAAATAGAGGGAGCCCGCAAACTCAGGCCTTGCGGCTAGTTTACCACACTGAGGTGCCCTGGACGGCCCCGGACCGCAGAGGCAGAGCTGAGATTCTAGGGTCCGCTTAGGTTTCTTTGGGGCTTACTATAGGGGCCTACACAATTACCTATACTATTTTGGGGGTTCCTTATTATACTTATAGTATAACGGGACCCAAAACCCTATTCTAATTGTTAAGGCCCCTATATAGTATCTTGTATCTGTTTACCACAGAGCTCGACTCGACCTCCTGAATGGGCCCCATCTTCTGCTTGACCTTGTCTGGACTTCCAAGAGCCTCCTGTGGAATTCGCCTGAAGTCGTCGCCTACCCCTACATCATAGCACCCTTATAGATCCCTTCTAGTAACCCTTATAGAGACCCCTTGAAAGGAACCCAATTCTACTTACTAAGGCCCCATATTAAAGTTGTCAGCTCCAAGCCCACTCTCCCACAGCCGCAGCCCGGGAGTGTCGTAGACTGTCATCGCCGCAGGGCTGAGGGTTTAGGTTCGGGGCTAAAGCGGAGGAAGCCTAGGCTTAAACTAGCCATTGATATTGGAGGAGCTAAGGAGCCAGGGATGATGATAGTCCCTAATGAACAAGGAGCTAAAGAGTTAAGGGAACCCCAAAACCGCAGGTTAGTAAATGCAGAAGATCCACGAAGCCTGACCCCGAAAAGAAACTGCGAAGTGGCACAGGACGCCTGGAGCCCGTCCCGGAGGCCACCATCTTGCGTTTCGGTTGGTTCGCATGTTTTTTTGCAAGGTGTAGCGTGGAGGAAACAAACGCACTGTTTTGTGTAATACCTTCGAAAAATCTTGCGCATGGGTGTTGCAAGGGCAAAGCCGCAGATTCACCTGGCTTCATGAAGTTCTGCGGGAGCAAGCAGGGCGGGATCAGAGTTTCTTTAGCAAAGATCGCACCGCAAGTTGTGATCCATTTTTGCTGATCCCCCGCACATGAATAAAGGCCCCAAGCCCTTGGCCCTTATTCCCATATCCGAAAACCCAGCCCCGAAACACTCAAAACAAGCACCACCGCCACTAACAGCCGTCACCTCCGTTAACCCTACACCCTAAACCGTAGACCCTAAACCCGGTCCCACAGTCCTGTGGGACCGAAGCGGCTCACTGACGCAAATCAAGGAAGATTCTATTTCGAACAGAGTAAGAAGAACTAAAACCAGGAGTAGCAACTAATGACTAGATGATGACTACTACAATGAATCACTGGTCATGCGAATGATACCGATTGCCGCTACTACTATCGCTACTACTACTACTACTACTACTACTACTACTACTACTACTACTACTACTACTACTACTACTACTACTACTACTACTACTACTACCAAAAGTAGCAATTTAGTTAAAGGTGTTCTCCTTGATTAGTCCGAGAGGCGGATGCCGACAGCCCGCGCCGAGCAGAGGGGCGGCGAACGCCACTTCCTCTGGTCATGCTGCCATTGCCAGGGGAGAAGGCAGCGAAGGGGTGGCTTAGGGTTGTATTTTGGAGTTCTCACTAGGTTTCCAGAGGTTTTTGTGGTACGGCGTTGAGGGTTTCGCAGTCAGGGGTTCGAGGGACGGAGTGTACCGGTTGGTAGAGCAGGCTTAAGGGCAACAGACAAGGGCTGCAGAAAGCACAGAAATCTCCCTGCTCAAGGTTACTATGCTTCAGCTTTTGCTTTGATACCGGGCTACCCTAAACCCTGAACCCTGAACCCTAAACGATCGATTGGGCCTTCAGCTGGTAACCCGATGCTTCCACGACCAGAGCCGGTGAAGTCCAACTCAAGTCGGATGGTCTCTTCCCTAAACCCTGAACCCCAAACCTGAAACCTAACCAAAGGGTCCTAGTGGTAAAGGAATTCTGACTGCTAGACAGGTGGAAAAGAGCCCTCAACAAAAAGAAACTTGAAACCTAAACCCCCAAAGCCTAGGACCTGGAAACCAAGACTACTTCCCACAGGAAGAACTCCGAGCAGTTCCTTTGGAAACTGCAGGGGTTCAGGGTTTCTTAGGGGTACTTAGAAATATTTTTAAAGTTTGGTTATTATAATCCCTAAGAAACAGCTAAATTATAATTTGTGCTAGGGTTCTAAGTTCAGTATAGGTTTGGGTTTGGGGTTCGGGTGGGTTCCTCAGCCATGAACGAAACCCTGAGGTTCCTCGCCCCCCTAATCATCAGGGGTTCACGTCAGGGCCGAGACAAGGTTCCTGATTACAGTGGAAAAATAATATACCAGCAAAAGTATTTCTTAAGGCCCCGATATTTGTTTCTGGGGGTTTTGGGTCTGGTTTGTTCCGGGTATCAGCAGGCCCCAGTCCGCAGTGACGTATCATGCACTACCCTGACCAGCTCTGCAGCGCACCCCTTTTCCTCCATCTCAAGACAACAGCCCAGACACATCCGCTAAACCTAAAACCGTAAACTCTAAACCCCCCAAGCCAGTGGACCTCCTGAGCTCTAAGTTGAGCCAAAGCCTTATTCTGATCACCAAGGCCCCTATACAACCCCATCAGAGTTCCTTGAAGGGATCCTTCAAGGGTTCCAACAAGGGCTCCTCTACTGGAGGCCTGAATAATTACCAAGACTATTTCTGGGACCAGCTCTTCATAAGCATAGTAGCTACTCCCCAAAGCCGTCCTGTAATTACTCAGGCCCTTGTGTATCGTCTGAAGAGGTGCCCCCCGAGATGCTGGTGGAGACGGTTCGCTCTTCCGCTTCCTCGCAGGCGCTCAGCGGCGCCAGCGGAGGAGGCACCGGCAGGGGTGAGGGTTCAACGGGATGGCATATTCTATGCGGGTTCATGTTGTCTTCAGGGCTTCAGGGTTCGGGATTTCTTTCGGGTACTAGAGGGGCCGACGGGTTTTGTTGTGGTTTAGTCGTGGGATTGTATATGGGCACAACAGCCTCAACAGGGTTTCCACTACAAAGGCTTATGCTGATTAGTTAGAGTGCTTCAAAACAAGGTTTTGGCAACAGGTTTCAAACGATGTTTTTTTTAGGGCTTGGGTCATGACCTAGAGTCCTAGAGGTTGCCAAAGGGTTGGGAGGGCAGTTTAGGGTCGAGAAAATATAACTGGGTCTCGGTGGTCATTGTACCAAGAAGACTGGCAGTCTGTGTCTATGCTTCGAAGATTCATGACTGAATGTGGAGTTGTTACAATCAGGTTACGCCGTCCGTGATCCCTTTCCCGGAAAGGCTTTGAAAGACCTGGCTGGCTTCAAGGACCTCCATACTTTCTGAATCCATTTCCTCCCGGGCATTCGACCCTTCTCAACATCTCATCACACTGCAGCCCCGGGATGCAACTTGATGTTTGCCCAAGTTGAATTTGCTTCTGTGGCTATCCGCAGCAGCTTCAAAGCCCGTGAGGTTAAGAGGCATGCGGAGCATTTGGGGGAGCTTGCTAGTGCTGCGAAGATGCCGTGGAATGCGGATGACAAGGTGTGCCCGAGCAGAGCAAGCGGCCAGGAAGATATGCGTTGTGTGCGCCTGGACCAAGCGATGCCCCGAGTCACGATGCGGCTGGTCACCTGGGAAGGCTTTAAAAATGCGGCGAGCTGCTGGGCTCGGGTGCCAGCGCCACCGTCTACGCCGCAGTTGCACCAGCAGAATGGCATGTCGTGGACACCTGTTTGTGTGTACGCGATGCGTCTTTCAACATCGTTTTGGTTCACGTTTAGGGTTTTAGGTTGTGTGCAGGGTGTTATGAAATAAATGAATCCAGTTCACCAATTTGCCAACTCACCGATTCACCAATGCTTCCCCCCACCCCAGGGGGAGGAGGATTGCTGAATTGGTGAAATCGTGACTTGGAGACTCGTCTCTTTTGTCGACTTCGCGAACTCGTATCTCGCCTGCAATGAGCTTTAACGTCAGAAATTAACGTCTGAAAGTAGCCACATGTGTTTTGAAACTGTCTCGGTGTTTCGAAACCGTTTCTGTTACACGAGACTGTCTTCAAAGCTTTTGTGATTCAAACCAGTATCACATCATATCGCAGCCATGCCGTATATCGTGAATGTGAAGAGCACGGTGTCAATGTCCGATGCCGAGGTCAGCTTGGTCTTGGTACCTTGATGCGCCACAAGCTCCTCGACCAGAGGCCCCAGATGTACGCGCGAAACTGACAAACATTCGCGACATGATCAAGGACAAGATCAGCAACGGCACAACCATGCTTCGTGAAAGTCGTCAACCTCTAACGGTCGCGCCTTGTCGACATTGAAATGTCGCACGCAGGAGAAGCTGAAGTTTCATCGCACTGGGTCAGTCGGTATGTGGAATGAATCAGCAGAGAAATCATTGGTGACGGCACTTCTGCGTAGCAAACGCACATCGAAGCAGAGCCCATCGCCAGCCAAAGCCATTCACGCCATGAAGGTGCATCACCAAGCCATTGAGGACATCAAGGTGAATCACGAAGCCACCGAGAACGTCGAGGCTGCTGACGGCTTGGCGGAGACTTCTGTGAAACACGTGAAGGACCCCACGAATGAGAAGCATCCTACAAGCGGCAAGGATTCATCGGACGATTCCTCTTCGGATGATGAGTCGTCGGGTTCGTCGTCGGGTTGATTTATAGATTCTCCACCAGAGCACATCAAGTGGAGTAGCGATTGGCACGACATCTACACAGAGCTTCTCGGGCTAGCACAGGAGCATTGCACCAATCCCAGAAAGAGCAAGATCATGTCTGACTTGTTAGGTGTTGTGCGCAATGCAAAGAGCTTGCTCGATAAATCTTCTGAGCAAATGCGACGAGTTCTGCGTGTCCAGCATGCACAAAAAATCTGTGCGGTATGCTGATATTCTTGTCGAGTCTGCACATCTGCACGCGCTGCCGATGTTGCAACACGAGTACTTGCACATATGCTGCAGCGCTGCCTCAAGGAACGTGCACAGTATCTGGCGTGAGGCACAACATCATGTTCCTGAGGGTGATAAGCTCAATGGCATGGCTTGCAACGAAATGGCAAGCTCGGGCGTCCTCTTCGTGAATTCCAAGACTGCTTTCGCAAACCTTCACCTGACCTATCTGAGGCTTCTCACGGATAGGCTTGCTCCAGGACAGGAGGCAAGTGTGCTGGAATTTGTGTCCATTTTCTCCTGGAACAGAGGTGGTTGGGTGCATGAATAACGCCGACGATGTAGTATTTCACGGAGTCAAGCTGTGAGTATCGCCTCTTTTTGATGTCGGACTCGAACCGGCAGACGTCGTCGCGTATGAAGAAATCGGCATCAACATTGTTCATGTTCATGGCATTTGTCAGAACCTTGACGTTGTCGTCCATGTTTTCATTCACTGAATCTTCAGTGGCTCCCAGGATCCGGCGGCTGTCAGGATCAACTGCAAATTGCCAACCTCCACTACGTTGGGACAGAGCGAGTCGCTTGCGGTCTTTTCGACGGCATGAACGTGAGCGCTCATGCTCTTTGAGAAACATGCGTGGATTGCTTGCCTTCATAATAATGGCTCTCTGCGGGTCCACACCGGACACCAAAGCTCTGTCGATATCGAACTGTCCGTCAAACGCAAGAGCCGTGACTGGTGGCGGAGGTGGGGACAAGCAGTCTTTGTGTCCACCAAGGTGTTTGGTAGATTGAATTGAACGACTTCGTCGTGAATTCGCCTTGCCAATGCAAAAGCTTCGAGAGCACGTAGGAGATAGTCTCTAGTCTTCTGCTTGTTAAGGAGTCGGCTATCACCCTGGTACACATGAGAAGAAACGCTGTAAACTAATTTAATTCGCACAAATACTGCAGAACCATTTAATGCCTGAGTTAGATCCGTGAACTTCTTTATCAATGGACTGAGGCCACACTGCATCGCTTTTGGATTCGCGAAGTGTGTGACGTTTATAGTGCCAACCCGAAAGACGTCCCGGTTCGTATTTCACGCAGAACAAGCGTTCTCAGTAGATCTGCAAAGGTGGCAACATGCCGGTCATCGGGAAGGTACAAAAAAGACCATGCGATGCCATGTCGTTTGTTTTGATTTGTCTGTGTCAATACTTGCAGTCAGAGAAGAGAAGCGACCAGAAAAGACTTGCTAAATAATGTAATGTTTGTCGCATGCATGTCATGTAAGTGTAAGGTACCCTTCGCTGGATTGGAGAGCTGCATCTGGGAGTCTGCAGCACTGTTTCGAAACATACCGAGTGTTTAAAAAAGTTCTGTGCTCTAGTATCAGGTGTATACAAGCCCAACAACCTAATATAATAACATCAAACAGGTGTCCAGGACACGCCCCTCCTTACACCAGACGACTGGCCTGTGGCGGTCAAGCGCATGAACATGATAATTACGGAAGAAGGCATTCTCAAGCATGAAATCGCCGGAAAGGTGGCATCGCAGCTCCTGTGCGCAGCTCCTTTGCGGGACATTGGTCGATGCAGGGTCAGAGCCGATTAGTTTTTTCCGGTTATCAGATCAAGGTGTCCTTCGGGAAATTCTATTGCCAGCAGTATGACATATTTCATATTTCCCTAGTTTGAATTTGCAAGGAGGGTCAGGGCAGGTTGCGAGACATCGTCATAGAGACATCATGATGACAAGACCAGCCGGTCCAGCATCGGCTCTCACGAAACCCACAACCGTTACAGAAGATCCCTACATTTTTGCCAAGAAACATTTCCTGAGTCCTTCAAGGCCTTATTCTAGGCCTTGCCAAACGCGATCCTCCGGCGCACCTGAGGTGCGAAGCTGCCGCCAGAGCTGTTTGTTTCTCGGCCCGCCGGGTCTGCAGCCAAAGATGCCGCGCCGGCGCAGGCAGAGGGGTTTCCGGTTGAACTTGGCGGTTGGGGGTTTCGGATTTAGGGGCTTAAGGTGTGGGGATTTTGTGTAAGGTAGAACCTCCTCAAACCCGATGTTGATGTCAATGACGGAACCTGTTCAAGAAACCCTGGTCCCATAACCCCAAAATAGTAGGATTCACAAAAGGAACCTTAATAAAAGCCCAACGTGTCTGATTTTAATCAGGTTCTTACATTAAGCTGGAGCCGAAGGAGACGTCGACCCCAACACCGCGTAGCCGCTGCCGGGAGCTAGAGGAGGAGCTGGAAAGGCCCAGTTTCGTGTGTGATGTTACTATGAGGGCCTGAACAATTGCCGATAGTTTTATGGGGGTTCCTTATTATTACTATTATAACTATAGTATATTGGGCCCCAAAACCCCATTCTAATTATTAAGGCACCAAAATTACTGTCAGGATGCTATGAGGGGCTGCTGCAAGGGTTGAATCGAGAGTTTTGTTGGTCTTTGGGCGGTTTGTTCGCATTGTCGGCTTTGGGGTTTCAGGGGTTCTGGCTTTAAAGGTTGGGTTTTGGGCTTCATGCGTTTAGGATGTTCAGAGTTGAGGATTGCGCGATGTACGGGCTTTGGGAGTTCTGGTTTTGGTCTTCCGGGTTAAGGATTCATGCAGGATTGCTCTGGCATGTCAATCAAATCTTGTGGTCTTCTTTTCCTGCTTGGAGGCTTTGGGTAAACCGCGGTCCAAGACTTTTTGGCTTCGTAGGGCCTTGTCGGAGTGTTATACTTTGGGTACGGCCCCCACTCAGTAATAGTTGAATAATATTCAGAATATAGATATATTAGGACCTTAATAGTAGCCTTATCATAGACTATTACTGTATGGGGGCAGCACCTAAGTTGTACTGCATGTGAAGTACAAGATTCGGGATGCCGGTTCAATTTGTAGGTTTAATATACAAGGGCTTCGGGGCATATTCTAGTAGTACAAAGATATTTGATAGGGGGTGGGCGCTAAACTCCTTATAAAAACCTTCAAACCCTCTTAAAGCCGTTGTACAGCTTGTGTAAGAGACTTGTTAAAGCTTACCCTTTTTCCAGGCTCCGGGCATCGCACCAGGAGGAGCTCGAGCGCGAGCGCCAACATTGGCAGAATCGACTCCGAGAAACGGAGGCAGGGATTCAGGGTTTAGGGTTTAGGGCTTTAGTACCAGGGCATTTTTCATGATTCGACCGGGTTTCGGGGAATCTTATACTACAGCTGCGTATTCAGGATCTGTATCGATCCGAGACTTAGCTCTGCGTCGCTCGACACTAAGCCCCTGCGGCCTAGTTCCACCCTGAAGCGGGCCTCTGCGAAAAACCCGGCCACAGAGCTCGTAACGAACGCCCCGAAGCAACAACCCCTTTCACCCCAAATCCATAAATTCTTGCGCCCTGAAGTCCTGAGTCTTGAATCCCCCAGCGAACCGTAGAGTCTTGAATCTTGAGGCGTTAAAGCCTCTAAAACCCATAGCGAGGAGGCGGCGCAAACTCGGCTGAAGGATCTGGAGACCGAGCGCAACCAGACACTCGCAGAGGCCCTCGGGCCTGCAACTGTAATTCAGGGTCTTGAATCATTAGTTGTATTGTTCCATGAATTATAAACGTCCCGAAACAAGTATAAGCAGTATACCGCAAAACCCTGGTTTCACTACTATCGGGGCTTCCGAGCTTTGTGTAGTGTTGACCTCCCTGGAGGATTTCGGGCTTCGGGCTTGGGGGCTTAACGTATGACTACGACAAGGCTCATATCAAGGGATCCTATCATGAAGGTCTTTTCACGGGGCGATTGTTCACATAGCTGAGGCTTGTGAGATTTAGGTAATGAGGTTTGGGCAAACCCTAAACCGTAAGGGTGTATACAATTTGTGTAAGGAATGCCATACCCCAAGTCCCCAAAGTAGTTCCTTTTTGTAGTTCATATTTAGAATCCTATAAGGTACTCCCAAAAGGAACTATGGGGCCTTAGGGGAAATCCTAAACCCTATTAGGGCTCGGGTTCGGCTCGGAGGTTCAGGGGTTGGGACGGGGTCTCCCGAAGGAGACCCGGACTGCGGGGTTCTGTCTGCTTCAAGAAGCAAGCCCCAAGCTCAAGCATCGCACACGAAGCGCGAAGACCTGCTTCTTTGTACTATTTTTCTCCTTAGGAATTGTTTTGTTTATTTTTGTTCAGATAAAACGCAAGAGAATAATAGCAATATTGTTGTTATTATGGTTCTGAGCGGGGTATAGTGTCGACCCTCCTTAGTTTGAGATAGCTATGGATACCCTGATCTCTAGGGTTCACGCCTTCCCACCAAAAACTTCGCGAGGCTATATCCCAAAATCCCAAACCCGCCTCTAGACTCTAGACTCCAGCAACACCAACATTTGCACAATCAACCCCAAACCCTTACACTGTCCCTACACCCCAAACCCCAAACCCTCACCTAAAAATCGATCCTGAAAGACACACCGGGGCCCGCTTGCGGGAGGCTGCGACCAAGCTGCAGGATGCGCAGCAAGCGCTCAAGGCTCCACAGTTGGTTCTCCACCTCAATATAGGGGCCTTAACAAATACCCCTAAACCCTAAACCCTATTCCTGATTATAGCTATAGTATAAAATACCCCAAGGGATGGAAGACGGATGTCAAAATTGTTAAGCGGATCCTTGGCTTGGGTTGGGTTTCATGGCTCAAGAGATTGGTGGGTTAGGAAGTTGCGGTTTGCGGCTTCAGGGTCGGATAGGATGATCTCGGTTTAGGTGCGGGTGTTGGCCTTGGAGCAAACCTCGATTCTGGTCTTACCTTTGGTTAGTAGGGAATGGAAGAATGGTAGTAATAGTAGTTGTAATTGTACCCCATTCTTCCATTCCCTACTAACCAAAGGTAAGTGGTGTGCTATGTCAAATCTGTCGAATTGAAGGAGGCTGGCATGGAAATGCAGGGTCGGAGTGTTCCTAGTCCCTCGACCAAGCGCTTGGTCCGTGTCCGCCTTGAGCCACTAACCTGCACCGGACCCCCTTAAGACCCTACGACCCTACCAAAATCCTTAAAGCCTTTGGACATTCCTAGCCTTCGAAAGCTTGAAAAGAAAGAAGATCTTACCCGGACTCTTCCTGGAGGCTGAGGAACTCCGGGCAACCACGGCCGAGACCCGCCTGCGTGAGGCAGCTTTCTCTTTATTTTAGAACGCTTAGGGTTGGGATGGGTGGAGGGTCGGGGGTGCGCGGGTTGGGTGGTCGGTTGCGGTTGGGTTTAGGGAACTTTCAGGGCTGTTCTGTACTTGGGGTGCAAGGGTTGTGGCTCGATCTATGCGCCACAAGAGGACCAGAAGAAAGCGGAGGCTGGCTGGCGTTGCCCTTTGGCCCCCCAGTTCAACCCCTCACGAAAGCGGGGATTTTTAGGAGGTGGGGGCCTGGGCCCAAAACTTCGATTCGAGCTTTGGTGCCCAAGGCCCGAAGCGTGAATCTGAAACTACTATAGGAGCCTAAATAAGTACCTATACTATTTGGTGTATTCCTTATTATAATTATAGTACCCTAGTCTAATTATTGAAGCCCCTATATTAGACCCTCATCGCCGTTCCGCAGCACTGATCCCCAAAGTATTGAAATCCGGCGGTATGAACATCTTGATTCGGGCAAGAGGAATTCCAGGGCAGCAGTGCCAACAACACTCAGGGGCAGGTATGAACCCTACTCGCGTCTTGAGTTAGGTGTTTTGGATCTGCAGTTCAAAGTTGATCAACCTTTAAAGTTGCTGTTTTGCCTTTGATCCGGCTCTTCCTGAGACCTCACGACCCTGACCCAAGACGAACTTCAAAGCCCTGAACCCAAGTGCTTTAAACCCTAAACCCCTAATTAAATCTCGAGCCCTAAGCCGTAAAACGTAATCCTAAATCTGGCAGCCTACGAGGTCCCCTCCTCGCTTGCAAAACACCGCAAACTCGAAGGTTACTCTTACAACCGAAGCCCTCATAGGTTTTTGGAAGCACAGGTTTTTTTTCTTAACCTTTACTCCTTTACACCCCGTATCTTACGTCTTCTGGGGTCTGGCCAGGTGCGTTTGGAGATCTCCGAGCAGTCAGAGGCTGTTCAGCTCCTGGGATGCATGGTTAGAGGAAAGCGGGATCCCAAAACCCAAGACCCAAAAGGGCTTCCGAAAGGGCTTAGGGTTCAGGGTTTAGGGGTTTAGGGTTTTTGATCTTAGGCTCTAGATTTTCCATGCTGCTGTGATTTCATCAAGTCCTCTTTGCATGATACTCGTGGTATCGTCACTATCACCTCCGTGGTCATCCTTCTTGCTTTCCTACAGATCCTAGTATTTAGGGTACTATATTAGGGTCCCCTATTTTCGGAAACACCCAAATTTCACCGCCTCCGTCTTTTTAGGTGCTCGGGTGTTGGAATCACAATCGATCTGGTGCTCTGCGGGTTGGAACTTCGATGAGCTGGGGACCATCCTTAAAACAAGGACCCCAAAATGAGGTACCCCAAATTTTCGCAACTCCCATTCAGGAGCCCCTAAACTCCTGGTTCTAGACCGCCCGCAAGCCACAACTGTCCAACCATTCTTAATTCTAAACCTTTTCAAGAATGATTAGCCGGCCGTGCAAGTTTCTCCACACCCTGAAGCCCAAAACACTCTAAAGCTAACAACCTAACCTTACGCCCGTAAAACTGCAAAGACCCTCAGCATCAACACCCGCGGAACGGCCCAGTCCGTAAGCCCCAAAGCCCGAAACCCCCAAACGGCCCAGACCTTAAACTTAGAGAACTCTTGCAACAAGCTCCTGAAGCCCTAGCCTCAAACGCTAAACGACTCACAACCTGAAAGCCTTGAGCCCTGAACACGAAAAATGACTGGGGTTTACTGTACTATAACTATAACAAGGAACCCCCCAAACCCTATTCTAGTTACTAAGGTCCCGCCATTGCAAACCTGAACCCCTAAACACTAAACCCCTAAACCCTACGCCCTAAACCCTAAACTCCTACTAAACCCCTTCATGGAAGCTCTCCCCCAACGTCTCTCCTCACTTCCACCCGAGGCGTGCAGGCACCTGGAAGTTGGAGGCGCCCCGTCAGTCGTTTGCTGCAGGTCCAGGGTGTGGCATTTAGGTTTGATGTTCAGAGTCCCGGGGCTTTCGGGCGCTGTGTGTTTGTTTCATGATTCATGTAGTTTCAGTTCCCCATGCACACACAAAACACAACAGCCCAAAAAGTCAAAGCCCTTTGAGACATGTCGAGCCCTTTATCTTGCCCTTGTCGCCGCCTTGGAACCCTTGAGTGAATCTTATACAGACTCCCAGAAAGCCTGGGAAAAGTTCCCGAAGTTCGCCCCTAAGCCCCAACGAAAATTTGTGGAGGCCCCATACATATAAACCTCTAGAAACCCTAATAGAGCCCTTCATCAGGCACTTAAGCCCTACGACCCTACATCCTAGACCCACTAAACCCTAAGCTCCAAAAAAAACTGAACCCTAAACCCCTAAAGCCCTAAACCCTTAAGCCCACTAAACCCTACAGTAAACCCTTAACTTACACTAAGCCCAAGAGATTCCGGAGCTAGCGGCTGGAGGCACAGTCCCATGCCGCCTCGCTGTCAGCAGCCGAAAGGCGCTGCGAGGCGCTTTGTCTTCGAATTCATAGCCATAGGGTTGGAAGTAATTCCTTTTTGGGATTACCGTTATAGGATTCTAAATATGAACCCCCAAAAGGAACCACTATGGGGCCTATGGGCAACCTTCTTGAACTACCAAAACCTATTTGTTCTGGTGGCTCCTATAGATTCCATATTAGGGCGTATAATCAGAACCTACGAAAACCCAGTAGGTTTTGGTAGTTGAAGGTAAAAAGGGTCACAAAAGGGTTTAGAGTTTAGGATCAGGGTTTATAGAGTGTTGCTAGGGGGATTGAGAAGGGTTTCTGGATTCTTCTGGTTCATAGTTTTTTCATCAGGGTTTATTCGTGTTTCTCAGGGTTCACAATTATTAAAAGGCGTTTGTACAGTGTTTCTAAGGGTTTAGCTTAGCATTCGATGCCAAGTGCAGGACCTCATGCACTCACGCAGAATCGTTCAATATGAACCGACAGCAGAAAGAATAGCTACAGAAGGCATACCACGAGTAAGCCGAACTTGACAAAAAACTGAGCCAACGCAGCCCTATCGCACCCCTTACGGTGACTCTATGTGACTTCTATACTGGCCGAGGGGCATGCCGAGCACGTGGCACGAGTGAGACGGCACGCTGCTGAGGTGGAGACTCGGCTGCTTGTTTTGGATGTTTTTCAGTTTATGGGTTTGCTCTGCAGTATAGGGGTTTAGAGTCATTTATAGTTTGAGGGCTTGGTGGTAGCTTTAGGGTCCGGGGTTTAGGCCTGTTGGGAGCTGTAGATAAGATTCCCAAGGTCTGCAATGGTTGTGATGACGAAGATGATAGTGCGCTTTGCCATTCTCATCCTACTACTCTACAAATGCTTTCCTCCGTAGAACCATCACTAAACTCAGCCTTTTGGTAGCTCAGGAGAGGCAGCGGAAGGAGCTGGTTCGGAACAGCGGCGTGAAGGCCAGCCAGATGCTCCGCGAGGCCATGGGGTGGAAGAGTCTTTGTAACCATTCAGCGTTTAGGGTTCGGGGTTTAGGGAAATATAGGGCTTAAATTCTAATTATTCAGGTACGTACATTTCCGTGCTTTAAAGGGAGAGGTACGTGGGGAACGTTCCACAAAAGGGTCCCCTTTTTTCGGGAGACCCCGACCTTTGGGGCGTAGATGGTTTCACACTCTCTTTACATGTTCAGAAAGCTATACGGGTAGTTGTCAAAATTAGGGTCCCTTCTTGGGTACCCTAAATAATGTGCCGTATCATAATAAGGACCCAAAAAGGGAACGTAGTTTTGAACCACCCAAAGGCGAGTTTTCTGGGAGCTTGCTGGAGAGCCATGGTTGAGTTTGCAAGATCTCTCGAAGGACCTTGTTGGTTTTTGCTTCTTGCCCAAGGTTGTGGATCTATTGGCGGTTACTGGCTTTGTGTCGTTTTGGGCTTCAGCGTTTCGTGTGAACACAGGAGTTCAGGCTGCAAGAAGAGTCCGATGGCTTCTCGGGTGTTTGCTGAGAAGATACGAAGTCCCCAGATTGTGCTTGTGTTCGCGGCTGCCACAGAATACGAGGGTTTGCAGAGTTGGCGTTTGAAGTTTGGGTTTCTGCTGCATTGGTGATCAGATGCTTCGGCTTGTAGACATCAGCTGCCACCCCTTAGACCCCAAATTATGCCACATTTCTCGAGCTGCAAGCCCTTAACTGCAACATCCCACAAACCATAAGCGCTTCCGAACCCTGAGGTGCCAAATCCTGAACCCTGCAACCCCAGATTCTAAACCCTGAAACCCTGCACCCCAAACTCCTAACACTCCCCCCAAAACCAGCTGTCAGGAGCTGGAGCGCACACAGGCAGAGCGCCTGGAGTTGGAGAAGCGCTTGAAAAAGGCAAGTTGACTTTGCAGGTTTTGGGGCTTGGGGTTTGCGCTTTCAGGTTTTGGAGTTGAAGGTTTTCAGGGGGTTAGGCTCTAGATTGTTAGGTAAGGTGTAGTAAGGGTTATCACGTGTAGGCTTCAGGAGTCGTGCACGTTCAAGAACTTCCGGTTGCTCCTTGAACTGCGAGCAAGAAACAAAGATAGCCAAAGCGCAGGGTTTGTTTTTTTTTGCTGCAGTGGAGTGCTTTGCGAAATAAGAACACTCTGCCAGATGCGAAGCACTTGTTGCCGCACGCAGGGGGGAGAGTTGGGTGGAGTGTGCTGTATACACACACACACATATATATATATATGTGTTTATTTACTTATTTGTATTCAAATAGCATACAAACTGTGTATGTGCATACATATGTGCTATGTATATACATGTTCGTACATATATATATATATATATATATATATAATATACATACAGACACACGTGCATATGTACATATATATGCATAAATACATACATGTATGTATATATATATATATACATATATATATATATATATATGTATATATATGTATATATATATATATGTGTATATATATATATATATATATACACATACATACATACACACACACACACACACATGTAGACGTACATATATGTTAAATGCGGCTCCTGTCGGAGTTTTGCTAGGTGTCCATTGGGGAGTCTTTGTGCGGGTACCAGAAAACATCTGACATCATCTGACTTCACGTAGCATCTCTTCTAGCACTAGACGGCACCACAGCCCTCAAAGCTTTACCCAAACTGCTGCATCAAGATTACCCTCACCTCGAAAGAGGCGCTCCCCCGCATCGAGCGCCTCACTGCGGAAGACCATCGGCTTCGCGCAAAGCTAACGCAGGCTGTTCGGCGCTTCAGAGCAGGGTAGGTGCGGAGTGTTCTGGAATCGCAAGAAGGCAGAGACTCCAAACCCACACCATGGATGACTAAGTTGTGACGCCACTCCTACAGTCGTAGCCTCAACTCCTTGCAGCCCGATCGACACCCCAACCGCAACATTTTCTGAGGGCTGAAGGTTTCGAGGCTCCGCCCGAGACCATAAAGCCCCAAAAGCCTCGACCCAAAGCAGCTGCAGGAGTCCGAGGTGGCAGCGGCACAGGTGCAATCCTTGAAGGACCGGCAAACCAGGCACTTTCAGCATCCCTCGGCCTTTGTCGCAAACTACAAAAATCCCTCAGGCCGAAGCGGCCGAAGCTCTGTGAATATTTTCAACGTCCCAAAATCCCTGCCTACAACCAAAAAACTGTCAAGACTTAAAGTCCTGCTATGGCACCAAGTGAGGCAGACCTTGCACCAAAAACCGAAACTCGATCTTCAGAGCCCGGAGGCCCTCAAGCTGGATGCACGAGCCTGGCCCCAGGGCTAATTATTATTACAACCTCGTTCGAGTGCAGCTTAAGACGGCACGCGGCCACGGCAGGAGTGCTCGAGTAGTAGTCACAGAAGTAGTCGCAGTCCGCTTGGCAGAATGGCGGGCAAACCAATCCAGACAGGAGGCTGAGGAATGCCGCCGCCCCTCAAGGGCGGCGAAGCTGACGCCCAGGAGGAGGTGGCGGAGAAGCGAGGAGTCTGCGCAGCAGTCTGCTCGCTTGTCCTCTCCATCCCCTCCCTGGTGGGCACCTGATGTTGGCCTCTGATTGTCGGCTGGTTTTTTCAGATCGCGTGGTATCAAATCGGTACTAACATCGAGCATCTTTTCTACGCCCTCGAGCTCACGGTGACGAGTGTCCTTGTCACCAACATCTTCCAGTTCGGCTGGTGGAGGAGGGGGGATCTCAATTAGTCAGTCAGGCTTTTCAGGTGCGCTTGTGAGGAATCTAGAAGGTTGGCCCTCCTTGTTGTGAGGGGTGCAGCTTGGGCGGGGGGGGAGGGAAGTCGCGATGAAGTGCGTGCAGGTGCAAGCAGCGGGGAGGCGAGCTGACCCACTGGCAAAGGTGGGATGCAGCCTACTACCTCGCAGCCGCGATCCCGATGAACTTGGGGATGCCATTAGCAGTGGTCCTGATCTACATCGGTAACTTCGGGGTCATGAAGTAAGCCTTTGATGTGTTTCGGTGCTTACATTCATTACATATGCTGAGTTGTGATATACTGAATTCCTCTCAGAAGCTCGTGTTAGCAAGGTCAGTGGGGCTACCCAGACTCCAAGATGTGGCACTCCAGCAGCTGGATGCCCAACACACCCCACGGCATCACGCTCTACGTCTTCAAGTGGCTGGGCGTGATCTTCCTGACCATCGGCGTCTTGAAGGCCACGCAGCTCCACACCAAGATCATGAAGAAGTGGAGAAACCTCCGAGGACAAAATAGGGCCGCTCCGGTCACCGAGACGGCCTAAGGGCGGGGCATCGACGCAGGGGCTTTGTCGGCTTGACAAGTCCTTGTTTTTCGGTCACCGCATGTGACTCTCGAGACACCATGCTTTGTAAGTTTTGTACAGCATTCTTGGCCGTGCCTTGTGCGGATTTTGTCGGCTTCGAACAAGTTCGCGCGCCTGGCGAGCCTGAAAGGAGACCAGGATACAGAGACTGAAGTGGTTGGACAAGCATCCATTCTGAACTCTGATTTGAGCACAACGCCTTTAAAAGGCATCAAGCTGTTTGCCGAGGCTTCGAAAGCTTGCTAAAACCCAGACGGACACAGCTGCAGGGTCATCACAGCCCAGAGTAGAAGGTCCAAGTGACCTGGCATTCACTGGCGATGCGGGTCCTCCGTGAGCAACAGTGAGCCAGTGAGTGGTCATTTGCTCTCGCTGTGCTGCCTCGCAGCGTTCGCCCATCATCGTCTCGTATCTGTTGAGATGTAGGAGTGAGACTTTCCCGGGGCAAGTTGCAAACAGCTTGAATTTTGCCGTTGCGTTTTCCCCTGGCTGCTCATGACCATGCGGTCGTGGCTCCAGGTGCGACATCAACTCCTGGCTCGTCTAAGACCGGTTGTTCAGTACCACGGGAGAAAGGCTCTGGTAGCAAGCGTGCGCAGTCTGCAGCGGGACGGTTGGATGGCATGCTCTCCGCTCTCTTCATAGTAGTTGCTCTGTTCGGGGAATCCCTTAATCTGGGCACATGCCCACATTTTCAGGGTCGGCCGCGGTTTGGGTTTTAGGTCCAGTCTAATTAGTCGCTGTTGGGGATTCAGAGCCGCAGAATCTGGGCTGACCCAGGGCTTAAACCCCTTCCAAGATCGTGAAATGGGTTCAACCGCCAAACTGCAGCCGTAAAGTCCTGCGATGGCATCAAGACCCTGCCCCGAAACTCTAAGACGTTCAGTGTTGAGAGGCCATGAAACTGGATGCCCGAGCCCGACCCACCTTGAGACGCTTCGCGGCCACGGCAGGAGTGCTCGAGTAGTAGTCACAGAAGTAGTCGCAGTCCGCTTGGCAGAATGGCGGGCAAACCAGTCCAGACAGGAGGCTGAGGAATGCCGCCGCCCCTCAAGGGCGGCGAAGCTGACGCCCAGGAGGAGGTGGCGGAGAAGCGAGGAGTCTGCGCAGCAGTCTGCTCGCTTGTCCTCTCCATCCCCTCCCTGGTGGGCACCTGATGTTGGCCTCTGATTGTCGGCTGGTTTTTTCAGATCGCGTGGTATCAAATCGGTACTAACATCGAGCATCTTTTCTACGCCCTCGAGCTCACGGTGACGAGTGTCCTTGTCACCAACATCTTCCAGTTCGGCTGGTGGAGGAGGGGGGATCTCAATTAGTCAGTCAGGCTTTTCAGGTGCGCTTGTGAGGAATCTAGAAGGTCGACCCTTCTTGTTGTGAGGGGTGCAGGTTGGGCGGCGGGGGGGGGGGAGGCAAGTCGCGATGAAGTGCGTGCAGGTGCAAGCAGCGGGGAGGCGAGCTGACCCACTGGCAAAGGTGGGATGCAGCCTACTACCTCGCAGCCGCGATCCCGATGAACTTGGGGATGCCATTAGCAGTGGTCCTGATCTACATCGGTAACTTCGGGGTCATGAAGTAAGCCTTTGATGTGTTTCGGTGCTTACATTCATTACATATACTGAGTTGTGATATATTGAATTCCTGTCAGAAGCTCGTGTTAGCAAGGTCAGGTGGGCTACCCAGACTCCAAGATGTGGCACTCCAGCAGCTGGATGCCCAACACACCCCACGGCATCACGCTCTACGTCTTCAAGTGGCTGGGCGTGATCTTCCTGACCATCGGTGTCTTGAAGGCCACGCAGCTCCACACCAAGATCATGAAGAAGTGGAGAAACCTCCGAGGACAAAATAGGGCCGCTCCGGTCACCGAGACGGCCTAAGGGCGGGGCATCGACGCAGGGGCTTTGTCGGCTTGACAAGTCCTTGTTTTTCGGTCGCCGCATGTGACTCTCGAGACACCATGCTTTGTAAGTTTTGTACAGCATTCTTGGCCGTGCCTGGTGCGGATTTTGTCGGCTTCGAACAAGTTCGCGCGCCTGGCGAGCCTGAAAGGAGACCAGGATACAGAGACTGAAGTGGTTGGACAAGCATCCATTCTGAACTCTGATTTGAGCACAACGCCTTTAAAAGGCATCAAGCTGTTTGCCGAGGCTTCGAAAGCTTGCTAAAGCCAAGACGGAAACAGCTGCAGGGTCATCACAGGCCAGAGTAGAAGGTCCAAGTGACCTGGCATTCACTGGCGATGCGGGTCCTCCGTGCGCCACAGTGAGCCAGTGAGTGGTCATTTGCTCTCGCTGTGCTGCCTCGCAGCGTTCGCCCATCATCGTCTAGTATCTGTTGAGATGTAGGAGTGAGACTTTCCCGGGGCAAGTTGCAAACAGCTTGAATTTTGCCGTTGCGTTTTCCCCTGGCTGCTCATGACCATGCGGTCATGGCTCCAGGTGCGACATCAGCTCCTGGCTCGTCCAAAACTGCCATGGGAGAATTGGCACACTGCCATCCAAGACAGGGACTTTGAAGTTTCTGCTTCCTTCGGTGATGAAGCCTCAAAGCCTCAGCCCTTGGCACTAAGCCACCCCGAAAACCCCTAAGCCCGGAACCCCCAAAACCCCCAAAACCCCTGAACCCTAAACCCTAAACCCTAAACCCTAAACCCCTAAACCCTAAACCCTAAACCCCAAACCCTGAAGTTTAGAGGCCCATAAGCTTGACTCAAGTCTGCAGGAGGAGGGCTTGGAGCTCTCCAGGGCCAAGGACCAGTTGTGGGCGGCTCGAGACTTCGGGGATGGAGGGTCGGTAATTTGGGGGCCTTAGTGAGTAGAAAAGGGTTTTTTGGGGGTCCTTATTATAATTATAGTATAATGCACCCCCAAACCCTTGTTCTGATTATTAAGGCCCCTACATTATGATCTGGAGCTCTTTCAGGGGCTGAGGTTGTTTGGGTGTTGGCTGGGGCTCGGGGTCGAGAGTTACGTTTTTGGGTTCCTTACTCAGCACTGATTCAGCAAGCCAGCGTGTGTGGTTATGTGAGTTGTGTGTGTGTGTGTGTGTTTGCATGGATGGGGCTAAGATTTGGGTCGGACGCCGCGTGCTTGTTAAGGGTTTCGCGGTCCAAGCGTTTGGTAGCATGCGGCTTGAGGCTCTAGACTTGGCAGTTTGAAGTTTCCTAAACCCACATCTCTAAAACGCTTTAAGCCGTATAGCCCTGACCACTACAACCCTACACCCCGACCCATATCCCTAAACCGCTTGAACCCCCAAACTAAAGCCCTAACCAGTTCAACCCTAGACATGAGGCAGAAGCAGCGCCGCCTGGCCCGAAGCGAGGCGTCAAACAAGGGCTGGCGGCTTGCACGAGTCGCAGAGAGTTTTTTTCCGAGTTGGAGGGGGTATCAGATGAAGGTGTTACGGTATTTGACGGTGTTTGGGTCTTGGGCTCCAAGAGCGTGTTTTTCACATTTGGAAGCTCTGAGCCTTGAATCTCGCAAACCGGAACGATCATGCAGGTCTTAGGGCCCAAGTCCTTCCACCCGATATCATCTCGGCCTCTGACACTTCGTCAGTACTTGGAGGGTCTGGGGACTTAGTAAGTAGGTAGTAGGTAGACTTATAAGTACCCAAAAAGGGACCCTAATTGGGGTTATGGTACTTATAAGTCCCTAAAATAACCAGTTGCTAAGTCCCCCGACCCTCCAAGTAGTGCCACCCCGCTAATTTCTGCACCTCCGGAAACTCACTCCATTTTCCTTCGCTTCGCACTCCTTCTGCAGTCTGTCCCGGCAAAACCCGCCCTAAATCCCGAACCCCTGAACCCTAAACCCCTTTTTTTCGACAGAAAACTCAGCAAAGCTGTACTTCCTAGGGGACTATGATCGACGGCACACTTAGCCAATCGGTGCCAGGAGCTTTCACCTCCATGCCCCTAAACCCCAAACCCCTAAACCCTAAATCAGCCCAAAGTCGTTTGTGACTCGCCAGAGGCAGAGGCTGCTGAGGCGTTGCAGAGCCAACTGGTTGAGGCCCCTGGAGAGAGAGTCAGAGAGTGTGCGTATGAATGAGTTGCATACTAACATGGACGAAAATTCATCTATTTCAAGAAGTTCAAACAACACTTACAATATACCTACCGCACACCTACGTGCGATTGATTGTACATACATACGTACATACATACACACATCCATACATGCCTACAATATACAGAGGTACATACAAACAGAGGTAAACGGATACGCAGGTACGTGGATGCATAGGTACATGGAATGCAGGCATGCAAACATGCATACATTAGTCATACATTCATAAAGTATGCATGCATGCACGTATCTACGTACCTATGTGCCTATGCACTTCTGTACCTGTGCATGCAAGCATGCATTCATATATCAGTATACATATCATACACATACATACATATATACATATATGTATGTCCATACATGCATGCACTGATTTATATTTTGTTGGTGTATATTTGTATACCGGTACACGACACGCAAGATGAAAAGAGCCGCTTGTGTGTGTGTGTGTGTAAATACACGCACATGCGAACCGATGTTCACTTGGTTCTGCTTTTCGCGGTGTAGATGATTTGTCCGTGAAGTGCTCTTGCTGTTGTTAATGTTTGTGTTGTGCTTGTTTCGTTTGGGTCTACAGTTCTGGAGATAGAGGTTCCTACGTAATCCGTCTAAGAATCTGAATGTGGCCCCCATGAACCAGGACTTGTTGAACCTGAAATCCTGAACTGGGAGCCCCAAAAAGCAATAAACCCCTACCCTGAAACGAGCAGCCTGCACCCCCAGCAGGCTGAGCAGCAGCGGCGGGGGGCGCAGGTGGAGCTTGCCAAGCGCGGCTCTCGAAGCGAAGTTTCCCAGACGATTGGGAACCTAATAGAGGGGCCTTCATGTATAATTACCGATACTATTTTGGGGTTCCTTATTGCAGGTAGTATAATACGCCCCAAAACCCTATTCTAATCAATAAGGCCCCTGTATTCCAAGGCGAGATACTTTAACTGAATTGGGTGCCCAGCTATCGAGGGGGAGAGCAGAAGCTTCAGGGTCTTACGATGCAAGGTATTGAGCAAGTGGTTTCTTCAGCCGTCCATGTCCCATTGAGTCTGCAGGCCCAAAACCCAAGGATCGAGTTCAGGTTTGAGGACCAGAGCTGCCTGCGCAGACTACAGTGAGCCGGCAATAGCCGGCACAGCCGGCATCCGGAAAAATGATACACTACGACATCGGTTGGTCCAGCAATGACCATGGCCTTAATAATTTACCTATACTATTTTGGTGTTCGTTATTGGAGCTATAGTATCATGTGCCCCTACACCAAATTCTAAGAGGGGTGATGGATGCGAGTGTGATGCGGTCAAGGCCCACTCTGTCGATGGCCGCTCCGTCACTTCTGCCATCCTCACGAGCAACACGTCCATCAGCATAATATAGGGGCCTTGACGAGTTCCCTATACTATTTTGGGGGTTCCTTATTATATTTATAGTATAATGGCCCCCAAACCTTATTCTAATTATTAAGGTACTATATTCTAGTACGCTTATAGATCCCATATAATAACCCTTTTCGACCCCCCTTTAAAGGAACCCTATTCTAACCATTAAGGCCCCTATATTAGAAACCTGGGCTTCGAGACTTGGCCTCTCGAGGAGGCAGACTGCTCTTGGAAATCGACGGTTGCAGCCGGCACTCCAGGATCAAGCCGGTTCAGTGACGTAGGGTTTAGGGCAAAGTTTAGGGTTTAGGGTTTAGGGTTTAATACAAGCCAACAGGGTTTTGGGGCTCCTTCTTGTAATTCTGGTGTTTTCTAGCCCCAAACCCTATTCGAATTATGAAGGCCCCTACATTAGCATGGAGCAGCTCTCCCGAGAAGAAGCCTTGTTCCCCAAACCCCCTTGCGTAGAAGACCCCCCCGAGCAGCAAGAGAGTTTGTGACGAACAGCCATCGTCAACCCGTGGGGGCCTTAAACGGGGTCTATAAAGGTTACTACAAGGGAGCTATAAGGGTACTATAATATATTATCGGCCTTAAAATTAAATAATTACCTACACTATTTTGGGGGTTCCTGATTATACTTATAGTTTAATGACCCCCCAAGGTGGGCCGTAACCCGAGAACTCAAAGTTCCTCGTGCATAGGTAGCCCCGCAGATTTTGTTTGCGGCTGTCTTCTAAACCCTCCAGCTAGATTCGCAAATCTGGCGACCCAAACACCTGAACCCGGAAACCCTGAGCCTGCCAGGACCCTCCTTGTATACCCTCAAAAAGGGGTATAAGGTCCCAAATAAGGGGCATTTAGGGTCTAACTGAGGGTAGATGGAGGGTCTAGGTGATGATCTTGAGCTTAGATACGGCTGCAAGGTCGCAGCGCTTGCGGCAGGAGGAGGGAAAGCGACGCTGGGAACCCAGTGGCAGGTTTTGGGCTACGTGTTCCAAGGTGGCGCGACCGTGTGGGTTTGGTCGTAATTTTTATGTTTACCGACTTGTTATTGCTTGTACTAGGGTTTAGCATAGGGGTATCATCGGGGCCGTGGCGACGGTGACAGTCAAGCGCAGGGCACTGGGGTTCAAGCAGATATTGTGGCCAGTGACTGAGAGCACCGTGGCCCCATGTGGGAGTTTCCGAAAATAGGGGACCCTAAGATGGTACGACAGGTACCCTAAATTTCCTTAAAAAGTAGGATCCTTGTTATAAGGACCCCAAAATAAGGCACCCGGAATTTTAGGAAACTCCCATGTCCTGGCATTCTGCCTGGAGTCCTTCCGCAGCCTCAATCCGCCTCCGCATTTGAATAATGTAGGAACCTGATTAAGAAACCTTGGGCCTTGATCAGGGTTCCTTGTATCAATCCTACTAAGTCCTACT